TGATTTAGTTTGGGGCTGTGGTGTCTGTGAAGGGTGTTTTGGGTTTTTTTTTCTTTTGGCCAACATATTTGTAAATTATGAAAAACGTAAACATTGTTGGGCCTTATTTTAATTTCAAATGAGTGGTTTCAGCTCTCAAGATTGAATTTTCTGTTCAGTGTCCAGGCAGAGCAATTTATGCTCTCAAGGTAGTCAGGGTACAGAGAATATTTTATACAAATGCACTCACGCTGCTGTTGAAGTTGCAGAATTTAATTGCCAAGGAACAGCGAGGACAAGCTTCTCTGCAGGGTAGAGTAAGGTGAAATGGGAGTCAAGGGTGACAGCAAGGCAGGCAGGGACCTCACTGTCACTGAGCAAGAAGAGCAGAGCAGGTCCTGTGTTATAAACGTGGTTCACCCAACAGTCCAGTGGTCTCCAGACAAACATGCAGTGATGGGGCAGGTCTCGGTTCAAGCTGGGAAGCCAAGGCAGCAAGGCAGTGTCAGAGCAGCAAGACGCACGGCCAGGTACAGCACACACTGGGGGGGCGGGGCTTGGGAAAGGACCTGAGTTTAAGGGCAGCTCCCAAGACATGGGCTAGAGGCCACAGACAAGGCTTGTGACAACTGTCTGATCCAAGGTTAGCCAGCTGCATCCTGTCAGAGCTGGCCTTGAACATGGGCAGCCAAACCCAGGGACCTGCAAGACCTGTTACTGCACTCCAAGATCTGACAGTCACATTGGACAAGTCAACCCTAATCTGAAAAGTAACATCCTACCAACATACAAAATCTGTTAGGCCTGACTGATCTGTGACCTCCTATTCCTTAAAACTAACTTTTGCCTGTTTTTAAACCTTCCTTCTAAGAATTCATGCCAGGAGCTCACCTGAAGTTGAACTACAAAATGAGACAGTATCTCCTCTCTTGTCCCAGGCCTGGAATGATTACTCCTCCACAAGTACAGCAGAACCCACACCATAAAAAAGGCACTTTGCACTATAAGTCCAGATTTTTCTGTTGCTCTTTCCAGTAACTACTGCTTCCAGAAAACATATAAACTATGTTAAAACTAAGTCTACAAACTATCAAATGGTCACAAAAAAGATACACAGAGAATAAACCAGACCTACTAACATAGTATTTCCTCTACAAATTGCAGTTAACTTTACTGTAGCACTGAAATACACAAAATAATTATGTATTATTTCAAAAAATACCAAACAAATTATGGACTTTGTTTGGCATCTACATTAAAAAAAAAAAATCATGAAATTTATAACGAAAATATGTCCAGTCAAAAAGTAACTACAGCATGTAGCTGCACTGGTGATGACAACAGTGATAATAGTGAATTGTCCACATCACTACAATCAACTTTAGAGCTCAACTGCCGCTTTGCAAAAAAAACCCAACCCTCCGTGTTGAAGAGCTGTTCATGCTGCAAACACCCCTCAAAGCTATCCCTGATGCAGGGAAATGTGTATCCGCACCAAGCCTATGGTCACATCATACAGATGTATGTTCTTTCTGCTAAGAAATACTCAATGTAGCAAGAAGCATATCTGTTACATTGGCAGGTACTTCCCACCCCAATGGGAGCCAGCTCAGTTAGCTCATACCTTCCGCAAGCTGCAACTCAGAGTGGGAAAACCCTTCTTATAGGAACATGTGGGAGATTATCCGGATACTGAGATTCTAAAGGTCTGGTTGCATCTGGAACTATTTACTTCAGTGGAAAACCAGCCCTGAACACACTGTTGTATTATAAAGAACAGAATTAAGAGAAATCAAAGAGAAAAGCATTTAAAATTCTATCGTAGTTGAAAAGAAAAAATAAACATACAGCCTGTTACATATCTTTCTGCTTCTCTGAATAAAAAGTAATTCAGGAACAGGACATCTCTTATACAGTCCCATTTATGAACGAAAGGGTGAGAGCTGTCACATAAACTAGGAAGAAATGCTGCTGAATGTTGCCTTATTACCACATACCAGTCTTCCTGCTACTATTTTGAGAATGCTCCACCAGAAAAAAAAAAAAAAATCAGTTTTTCTTCCTAGAGATCTAATAGGACAGCTTGCGCCACAATGCTTTTAAGCATTCTTTACTACTTTAAGTAATAAAGTGCATGTTACAAAAATGAATCATAATAATCACCAAAAAGATAAAGGACAAAGACGATAGACTTCATATGCTAAGCCATCTAAAACTCGTCTTATCAACATCATTGTCTGGGTTGAAGAACAGACTAATGGCAGAATTAATTATTGGTTAATTTTCAATTCTCAACTACCAGATGGCAAGAACTAGGGGTGTAGAAAATGAAAAGTACATTAAAGGAATTAATACAACTTTGTAGCACTTGAACACAAATCAACATCTGATACTATAAGCTCTAATACCAGAAAACCATAGTTGCTGGAATATTAATGGTTATGTACAGTGTAAAACAAACCAGCACAAAGATTAAAAGCAAAGCAAACTAACTGGAAAAAGAACCTGAACTTAAGACTTATTCACAACAAAATTCAGTATAACCATGTCGTGCTTTAATTCATCCTGAGAACTCACTTCCAAAAATACTGGGTTTTTTTTCCTGGAACTTTTGCAATCTTCCATATCTTCCTTATTTCAGCGAAAGTAAACCAGCTAGTTCTGCTAGATATCTTTCTCCCTCTCCTATTCCATCCTTTTGGTTATCTTTTTTCACATTACTAAGTTTGGATTGCAAGTAAGTAAAGAGACATAACTTTCTAAATGTGTTTCAAATACCTACGTATTTTAACTCCTATAAAATGAGAAGTATTCTGCAACTGAAGAGTTTTAAAGGTGTCAAGTCATTATTAACCTTTACCTGATGAAAAAAAAACTAGTACTAATAAAGGTATTTTTGAATTTAGGCTTCTTTTAATGGAGAAACTTAAAATCAGTAGCATCTAGAGTTATCCATTTGTACTGCCCACAATTAATTGCAGTCTATCCAGTCTCTGAGAGTCAGAATCTATTCTGCATATTTCGCAGGGATTATTATCCTACTACTTCATACTACTAGCAGTAATATATCAGGCTAGTGGAAATCACTTAAAACCATTTAGTAAAATGACAACATGGTGGGAAAAAAAAAAAAGAAAAGAAAAGAAGTTGAAGTTGGTTCTTTTTTGTTTGCTTGGTTGGTTTTTTAACTGGGTTAGCAAGCATTGCTTTGGAAAAGAAACCTCTCATATGACAGTCACAAGTTTTGTTCCAGGCAATGTCAGACTTCTATATTCAGAGGATATACAAGTACAAACCATCACTAGCAGTAACCAGGGGCAAGGGTAGCTACCACTTTTTTAACAACACCTTATCTATCCTGACAGAGGAAGCTATGACACCAACAAAGGGCTGAAACTTGAGCTACATGACAGAATGGGTGAACACCCCAGAAGCATACTCAGGCTGGCCTGACAGATTTTGTCACTGTCTCTGAGCAATGACATCCCCTTTGGCATGTCACCTTCCTCGAGGCTGAGTAGCAAAGACAGGACACAGAAAGTGTTTGTATTTGGGAAATTGGTGTATCCACCTCCTGGTTAGCAGCCAAAGCTCAAGACAGAACTCAGCATAAAGCCAGTCCAAGTGACTGACACCAATATGCTACAATGATAGGCATGAGAAAAACCAAGTGGGAATGAGAGAAGAATTTGAGAGATGCTCCTCAGTACCCCAGTGAAATGAGGTGGTGATCTAGTCTGCTTCACAGGGCGAAGTATCGATGTCACTGAAGCTGTCAGCACTAAATAGAATCCCTGCAGGCATCTACAGGGATTTAACAGACATCAAGGAATAAACTGCTCCACTCCTATGGGCTACCCCTCGGCCACAAAACAGAAGAGGAAAGGAATAGCATAGGAAGCTTTTCATCTCTCCCGCCTGCACTGCTCTGTGGCTAACAGAAGTTATTCTGAGCAGTTGCACTGCTGAGAATAGTTTCACAAGAAGTCACATAATACAAAACCTTATGTGAACCCTTCCAAGATGAACCAAACCAACTGATTTCAGCTGACACAATTTTCTCCAGAATACTCACATTCTAGACAATCTTCAGAACACTGTACAAGTAACAAAAAAAAACGCGGCATGCTGAATGTACAGATATCCACCACCCAGCCAATTAAAAATACACTTAAACTAAGCTGCACATAGGTGAAATATATTAACCAAGATGATAATTCAAAATTTTAAAAGTTTTAAAAAGTGCTAAGATGTAATCAGCCAGAGATAAATGAAATGAGCCATTCTACTTACCTCGGATAAGACCCTGTGAACGATGACAATTTGAATCAGAAACATGCCATGTTAATGGTGCACACTGGGCTCCTCAGATTTTTTTTTAAAAAAAGAGAAGCCACATAAAGACAAAGGCACTGATCTTGCAAAAACTCACATCGTGCTTGTGAGTCAAACATGCGACTCAAAACTCAGTGACTTCAGCTGCATTTTTCAAGTTAAGCATTTAGAGGATCAGAGCTATGGGAAGCATTTTAATTGAAAACACTTGGATGTAAGAAGCATAGTTTATCTAATACTTTGTCTCAGCAAGACAAAACTTTGCTTCGTCTCCACATGTATATAACATAAGTAACACTCTTTTCTTACACCGTGCATTCTCCATGGTGCTCATTAAGGACGAAGAATTTCAACAAGCAAAATAGTTCTGATAACCACCTTACTGCTCCAAGCCATTTTACGTGGCTGCACCGTCTGTATTCGCTAAACAATGCAATGCTTCTTGTCACCTACAGTGTTGCAGTAACTTGCATATTTCAGAGCCCAAAACTACCTTTCACGACAGAGCAGCGTCGGACACCCGACGCTGAATCACCGTTCCGCGCTCGTTGTCACTCAGGGACTTTTCACTCCTTCAAAGACCAACCGCACTCGCTGAGGGGCCAAGGCCACTACTCTGAAGACGACGCGACATTTTTTTGCGGCGGCGACGGCGGGGAGCCCCGCGTCCCCACACCCGCACCCACCTGAGTGCTCCTGGACACGCACGACGAGCTGCCAGGCGGCCGCCGCCTCCCGGTCCAGCGCCGCGGCCAGCGTCACCTCGCCGCTCTCCCGCCCCACGCGCAGCGGCGACTCCTCGGCGGGCGGCGACGCCACCTCGAAGCAGGCGGAGGCGAAGGGCGCCGGGGCC